CCGGTCAACCCTTTGGCTGGGCCTGGACTCTGGCAAAGTGGCCCTGTGCCACTGCCAACCTGGGGGTGAAAGGCCGGTCGCAAGCCACCAACAGAGAGGCTGCGCTTCAGCAAAGGGCAGTAGGAGTCTGCCCTGCACGTGGGCGCTTTCCCCACAGCACGCTCTGTGGAGGTTGCCCGTGGAACGGTGCCACGGTCACACGTCCTGCGAGCCGGGAGCCTGCTGGGCTGGGCGAAGCCAGACGGCGTCTCCTGGCTGCGGCTCTGTGCATAGTGCCCCTGCAGAGGGGGCTTCCCAAACCCAGGGGTTCCACAGAGCCCACGCAGGGAAGTGCTGTGCTCCTACAACAACTGAACACCACAGAGGAAAACCGGGGGAGGTGGAGAGGGGGTGCAAGCCTAGGGCCAGCGCACCCAGTGGAGGCAGCCTGAACTATTTCCGTCTGCGCTGTTGTCTCGCGCTCTGACCTTGAACTACTTTCTTTTGTTCTCTCCACCTGTTTCGCCATCCGCACTATGAGCGTGATGCCTGTGCCCCAGCTGATCCTCAGTGACTGTTGTTAGATGAATGGGTGAGAGGGAAGGCTGGACTGTGACAAGCTCTGCTTGGCCACCACAACCTAAGGATGGGAGACAGCAGAGACTCCCAGCCCTTCTGCCCGAGCCTCCGACCCTCTGCACTGGTTACAGGCTGTTCAAACTTGGGCCGCTTGGCTCTTGGTGCCTCAGTTTCCCCCTGTGAACTGGGCTAAGAATAGTTGTGTGAGCTTCACGTGGAGGGGAGGGGACTGTATACTGTGTCAGCCAAGCTGGGCCACTTTGAGAGAGAGAGGGAGGCACTGTTAAGAATCACGCTGGGACGAGAGGCCTAAGCTGGCATGGTCCCAGGCCAAGCCGGGCAGGTGACGAGCTGAGGCTCCAGGGCGTAGCACGCACTCCACGTACGTCAGCTCTCCTGGTGAGGGGGTTCAGCCTGACAGCAAGCGCAGGTCAGTGTATATGAACAGGCTCAGCGTGGAGCTGCTGTCCTGCGGAGGGGTAGGGGCTGCTCAGAAATCCCCTCCTCACTGCCTCTGGCCCTTGGCGGCCCCTCCAGCTCCCAGGACTCTGCAGTGTGGCTTCCGGCTCTCCTGGACCGTGATTTATGATTCCCTGATCTGCTGCCCATCTCAGCTAGTGTCAGCAGATCCCCCTGACAGCACAGACCTGAGTGGTCCCAGCCCAGTGTCAACCCTGCCCCCCATGCAGAGCCACCTCATTCTGACCCCAGATTTCCTCTCTGTATCCTAACTGTGCCAGGATTGGGAACAGATCAGCTGCCTGCCTGGGCTGGGTGGGTTGTGGGTTGCTCTTTCCATCCCCCGTTCCCACATGGTTATTGATATGCATGGGCTAAGAACCCCCTTACACCTGCCTAGGCAGGGACAGCTCCTACCGATCAATGGGAAAACTGAGGCAGCAGCTGGGGGTGGCCCCAAAGGGAAGCCTGGGGATCCTTTCCCCAGCCTGGGTGGTCTAAGTGTCCAGGGCCAGCAAAGGGAGATGGTTCGTGTTTGTGAGGCCTCAGGCTGGGCAGGGTCAATGACCCAGAGGATTAGGGGCCAAAGAGCTGGGTCCAGGGCTGGGGCAGCGGGAGGGTGGGGGATTAACGGGCTGGCTCCTCCCTCTGCACCAGTGTCCTCCGCGCAGGCTGAATGTGGACTTGGCTGCCCCCTCCTCAGCCCAGTGCTGGGCCCTATTCAGGAAGCAGCTGAGAGGGTGCTCCCTGGCTCCCCTCAGATCAGTCCCAGGCAGGCAGCCTCAGGAATGCCCAGCCCAGACCTTGTCCCAAGGGCGCCCCACGGCCAGAGTGGGCAAGTCCAGGGCATGTACCCCTGCGGTTGGGGGAGGACCTCCAGCACTTTGCTCACGAGGAAACCCTATGCATAGGTCTTGTTTCAGCAGACTCCTCCCCCTGCCCAGGCTGCGAAGGAGGTCTGAGAGCAGGGTGCACTCCCCGAGAGGGCGCCCCCGGCTGTGCAGGAGCCTCACCCCTCACCCCCGATCTGAGTGAGGCAAGTGGAGCTGGCCCGTGCGAGCCCCTGTGCCCTAGTGAGCAGCTGCCCCGTATCTGCTTCGTTCCAGGGAAGGGTCACAGCTCGAGCTGCTGGCCACAGTGACACAGTGCTGGTGTGTGGCGGGGCGTGGGGTTTTGCCTGTTCCTTGCTGCCCCTGCCTGTGCCCCACAGTCTCTTTCAGGGGTTCCTGGATCAATGGCACCTGTCTGCCTCTGGCTCTCTGGGGGTCTCTTTCTCCCTTTGTCTCCCTCTGTTTTCCCCCCTTACCTTCGGTGCCCCATGCCCATTGTCATTTTCTTCCCGGGTATCTGGTGGTGGTCACAGTGGGGTCCCGTGTGCATTTATGGAGCCAGGGCAGTCTCTCCTTCCCCCCAGTCATCCAAGGGAGTCCCTGAGGCCTCGTCATTAGGGTAGCCGTGACCCCCCCATTGTTGGGCCTGTCTGGCCCTGGCATGAAAGGTAGAGCTTTGGCAGAGAACAGAGACTCGGCTGGATTCCAGCTTGTTCTCCGCAGTCTGGAGGCCGTAATGTGCTTGGGGCTGGGTGGGCAGGCTGTGGAGGGGGCGGGGGCTGGAGGAGCCACAGGGCAGCCCTGTCACTAGGACAACAGCAGGGATCCTGGATGGGGACGGGGCCAGGGAGGAGAGCAGGTGGCTCTTTGTCTGGAGCTGATCCCACCCCCACCCCCACCCCACCGCCCTGCCAGGCGAGGAGGCCCGTGGGAGGGGATTGGTGTGTGTGCTCCCAGCGCAGGCAAAGCCATGGGGCTTCCTCCCCCATACAGGGCACCAGACCTGTCCCCTACAGGCTTCCCAGGATGAGCCCCCCGACACACACACACACACATGCTGGCCGCATGTGAGGGCCATGTGGGACCAGGCAGGGCCAGGCTGGTGCGTCCCTGGGGTGGAGCGGGCAGGAGGGGCCCCTCACTGGCTGCCTTTGCCTGCTTCCCTCTGCAGGCTGGGTTTCCTAGTCTGAGCGCTGACAGCTCAGAGCTGTCGCTGCGGGGGGCTCGTCCCTCCTCAGGCCGCCTGTGTGCAGCAGGGCTGCGAGCTTCCTGGTCGGCACTCACCTCTGGTCCAGGAGGCGGTGGTGGGTGATGTCACGGCAGCGCCAAGCTGCCTGCAGGTGGAATCCTGGCTCCGCCACGGGCCAGACCGGTCACCTCGGCTCTCTGTGCCAACTTCTCCGTGCCTCTGTTTCCTCAGAGTCTGCTAGGGACTCTTGTTGTGGGGCTCGAAGCAGCAGTGTATAGAAAGTACTTAAGCAGTGTTTGACCCCATGAGAACACTAAGCAAAATTAGGTGCTAGTATTCTTCTTTAAAGAAGATTTATTTATTTATTTATTTATTTGAAATGCAGAGTAACAGAAAGAGATGGAGAGGGGGAGAGAGAGATCTTCAAATCACTGGTTCATTCCCCAAATGCTTGCAACAGCTAAGTCTGGTCCAAGCTGAAGGCAGGAGACTGGAGCTTCATCCCGGTCTCCCACATGGGTGGCAGGAGCCCTCATTGTGCTAAGAGCTGCCGTCCCTGGCACATGAGCAGGAAGCTGAATTGGAAGTGGAGTAGCCGGAACTTGAGCTGGCACTAGTATGGCATGTGTCACAGGCGACGGCTTAACCCGCTGTGCCACAACGCCCACCCCTGGGTGCTTGTTCCCACGTATCTTTCCAGGGGCCAACATTGTGGCCTAGTGAGTTAAGCTGCAGCTTGTGGTGCCAAAATCCCATGTGAGCACTGGTTCAAGTCCTGGCTGCCCCACTTCTGATCCAGCTGCCTGCTAATGCGCCTGGGAAAAGCAGTGAAAGATGGCCCAAGTGCTTGGGCCCCTGCACTCACTTGGGAGACCCGGAAGAAGCTCCTAGCTTTGGCCTGGCCCAGCCCTGGCTGCGTGGCCATTTGGAACCAGCAGATGAAGATCTCTCTCTGTCCATCTGTCTCCCTGGTTTGTCTCAGAAAGCTGCGCGTACAGTCCACTTCCTCAAACAGCCCCTCTGACCTCTGCAAAGGGGCACTGTGGCCTGGCTTTCCAGCCTCTCTGTCCCACACTCGTATCTTCCCGTGCCTGCCTCTGAGAGCTCCCGTGTGAGCCACGCAGGCTGTTTCCTGGCAGGGGTGGGGTGGGCGTTGAGTGGACTCTGTGGGAAGATGGCAGAGAGGTTAGAGAGTTAGACCCTGCCCTCCCTAACTGACCCGATGGGGCTCCTCACGTTGATGCGTGGCATCGGTGTGTCCACGTCTGTTCCCCTCTGAGCTGTCAGGTGTGTGGTGACGTAAGTGCCAGCCACGTCTGGAGGAGCCTTCCTGAGCAGGGCATCTGGGCAGTGGGGCAGGGTGAGCAGCTGTCTCCCCACCCACACGAGCAGAGCTGCAGAGAGTAGAAGGGGTGACACGCACTTGCACACGCATGCTCATGGGCACACACGTGTGCATGAACCTATGCACGGCGCCAGAGCAACAGAGCAGGCCCTGGCAGGCCTGAGCACATGGATGCTTGTGTGAGTGCAGGCCTGGCTGGGGGCAGGCCGGGTGCAGAGGACTTGCCAGGTTGGGCTTCCTGCGTAGGGGGCGGGGCCTCCGAGGGTCCACCCCTCCCTCCCTCCTGCCTTGCCTGTCACCCTGGAAGGTTTCCTCCTCCAGTGTCCTGCGGCCAGGCCCCAGCAGCTCCTCTGGGTCAGTCCTCCTCGTGGTACCTTCCACTCCTGCTTTCCTCCCTGCAGTCGGAGCTGGGGCTGAGGCCACGGCTTTCCTCTCTCCCTGCCCCCAGGGCGGTTGGGTTGGGCCTCCCTGCAGGGCCCCTGGGATTGTACATGGCTGCCCGTGCCCTGTGAGGCTTCCCGGGGGCCTCGGCAGGGTCCGTGACCCCCGCTGGGCCTCTGTTGGCAGAGGGGTGGGGGCCGGGCCCCACTGACCCTGCTGCTGTCGGCTTCTCCCCCAGTTTGACCCTGGCAACACGGGCTTCATCAGCACTGGCAGGTTCCGGAGCCTCCTGGAGAACCACAGCTCCACGCTGGACCCCCACAAGAGAGAGGTGCTCCTGGCCCTCGCCGACAGCCACGCCGACGGGCAGATCTGCTACCAGGATTTTGCCAACCTGGTGAGCGCTCGGGGGGGGGGGGGGCCCTCGCCACTGGGAGGGGCCTGTGCCGGGCTGTGGCTTAGATGCGTTAAAGGGATATGGGTGATGAAAGGTCTGCTGGCCCAGAGCTTTGAGAAAGGTGGGGCTTCAGCAGGTGTCGAGGTGCCACAGGGGCCACTTTCTCTGTCTCTCAGTCCTGCCACCCACCGAGTCAGCCCCTCCTCAAAGCCCCTGGTCCTTCCGCGCCCTCCCATTGTGGCAGCAGAGAGGCAACAGTGGTTCCAGCCCTCGCACCCTTGGCCTACACCATGCTCACAGAGATCTACTAGGTCAGTGGGAGGTGCTGATTGACTCAAACCAATCTGTACCTGGTCCCTGCAGCGGGGAATGGGGGTCCCACCAAAGTGAGGTTATTGTGAGTGGGAGAGGGGCTGGAGCGTGCCTGCCGGCAGCGGCCTTGGCTGTCGGGCTCAGACGGGAGGCCCCTGAGTCCCGCCCAGGGGTCTGGTATCTGGGAACAGAGACCTCTCCTCCCTGAGGGTTAATGCTGTGTAGTTTCAGGGGCTGCTGTTGGGGAGGGTGTCAGAATGAGGTTCACTGGGCTGAAGCAGGCGGCGTTTCACCCACTCTGGGATGGACAGGGCATCCACTGGTGAATACGAGCAGGGTGAGCGCAGGGCCGCAGTCTTCTCATGGCTTCCTGTTGGTGAAGTGGAGACGCCACTTCCCTTCATGTCCCCCAGGAAGGCGTGGGAGGGAGACGAGCTGTGTGAGGTTCCCCAGGCGCCTAGAATTCAAAGGCACCGGTGATGGGGCAGCCGGCACCACCTGCACCTCTCGATAGGCCGTAGGAGCTCTCTGGTGCCAGGGATGCAGAGGCTGCAGAGTTGGCTTAGCGGCCTTAGGGCTGGCCGTGGCTCCGGGGTCGGCAGGCCCGCAGGGAGTGTAGGGTCAGCAGGCCTGTAGGGGTGGAGGACTCAGGGAGCAGACCTCGTGGAGGGCAGGGGACAGCTGAGCTGAGGAGAGGCGGTGGGGACAGTCGGGATCCATGGGACAGGCAGCGGAGGTGAGCTCCGTGACACAGTCCGAGCCCCCAGCCAGCACGCCAGCCCGTCTGTTGCAGCAAGTCACCGTTCCCAGTCTCGGGTCAGAGAGAGGCACACGGGCCAGGGCATCTCCCCTCCAGCCGAGGGCCTGGTTGCTGCCGGGATTGCTCTGTTCACGTTCGGAGCAGGGTTCCTGTGGAAGGCGCTGCCCTGGAGAGCAGGCTAAGAGGGGCTGGCGAGGGAGGCAGCTGCAGGTCGGGCAGGGCCCTGAGCTGAGACTGCTGCCTGCTTTCCTTTTCTTTTTTTTTTTTCTTTTTCTTTTTTTTTTTTTTTTTTGACAGAGTGGACAGTGAGAGAGAGAGACAGAGAGAAAGGCCTTCCTTTGCCATTGGTTCACCCTCCAATGGCTGCCGCGCTGATCTGATGGTAGGAGCCAGGCACTTCTCCTGGTCTCCCATGGGGTGCAGGGCCCAAGCACTTGGGCCATCCTCCACTGCACTCCCTGGCCACAGCAGAGAGCTGGCCTGGAAGAGGGGCAACTGGGACAGAATCCGGCACCCCCACCGGGACTAGAACCTGGTGTGCTGGTGCCGCAAGGCGGTGGATTAGCCTAGTGAGCCATGGCGCCGGCCTCTGCCTGCTTTTCTATCTTAAGCGCCTCTGTCTGGCATGTGGCCTGGTAAGGAGGCTGGCGTGTTGTTGGCTGTTCAGTAAGTCATGATGGACAGGTGGTGGAGGAGCACACGGAAGGGAGTGCTAGGCTTCCGGGAGCTCTCCGTGCCTCGGTTTCCTCACCCCATAGAACGCGGGTGCTCCTGGTCCTTGTGTAACAGGCCGACCATGGCAAGCCTCAGATGAGCCCCTGAGAGGTGACGGGGACGCACTGTGGCAGAAGAAAGGAACTACGCCCCGGCCCTGACCTCTCCCCGCCCGGTTTCCCTCGCAGATGAGCAACAAGCGTTCCAACAGCTTCCGCCAGGCCATCCTGCAGGGCAACCGCAGGCTCAGCAGCAAGGCCCTGCTGGAGGAGAAGGGGCTGAGCCTCTCACAGCGGCTCATCCGCCACGTGGCCTACGAGACCCTGCCCCGCGAGATCGACCGCAAGTGGTACTATGACAGCTACACCTGCTGCCCTCCACCCTGGTTCATGATCACAGTCACACTGCTGGAGGCAAGGACGGGTGGGGGGGCGGGGAGGGCATGGAAGGAGAGGCCCTCAGAGGCCGTTGGTGATGGGGGGAGAGCCGGGTGGGGGAGGGGCAGAGGGTGGGGGGGCAGCTGGCGGTGCCCATCAGTCCGCTTAGGGAACCCAGCGTCGTAAGCCTGGACTGCAAGCAAATTCCAGGGTTGTCGCTTGGAGCAGTGTTCACTGCAGTGAGGTCCCCTACAGCCACCAACGCCAAGCCAGTCCCTTGCGCTGCTGGTTCCCCCTTCTCCCACCTGCAAAGTGGGCATGAGTTGCCAGCCCGCCGTCTCCCCGCTGCCTCCGTTTTCGGTGAGGATGGCTGCTTGTGCTTCCGCAGCTCACAGGTGCCACACGGGTGCACCTGGGAGGGAGCGTTCGTGGCCGAGTGAAGGTGCGCTCGGCATGTTTTTCAGGAACGTTCTCCCCGTGGGGAGCCTCCTGTACCCTTCCCCTGGCGGGAGGGCCCCAGAGGGGCCATTGGCTGCAGCTCTCGGTCACGTGTGCTGTCTACCCCAACTCCAGCTCCTGGTGACACGAGCCCGGTGACCACCTCCGCACGTGTTCTCCTCAACAGGCTCGGGGAGCTTTGTGACACCTTCTTCTCCATCTCCCTTTTGTCCCTAAATCTGAAGAGCTAGTGTGCGGTGGGAGCCCCTGCACCTGTGGCCGTGGCCTTGTCCAAGTGCCTACTGCCGCAGCTGTTTGAGATGTTCTTGGCCTCCGCCCTCAAACGCGTGCTGTGATGGTCTATTTATTAGCTGCTCTTTGAGGACCAAGAATCCCAAGGTGCTGTGGAGGCTGCACTTGCTGCCAGGCCACCGCACGGTGTCAGGTGGACAGAATGGCTCCTCCGGGAGCCCAGGAGCGTACAGCTGCCTGGGCCTGAGCCGGGCCCTGGCTTAACCCAGAAGGCTTTAACTGGACACTAATTATAGCTTTCTCTGAGTGCGTGCCAGGCATAGGGCTGGCTGTTTGTGTACCTCATCACTTTAGTTTTTTTTTTTTTTTAAGATTTATTTATTTATTTGAAAGGCAGAGTGACAGAGAGAGGGAGTTAGATCTTCCACCCACTGGCTCATTCCCCGAATGACCACAACAGCTGGTGCTGGGCCAGACTGAAGCCAGGAGCTCAGACCTCTATCTGGGCCTCCCACGTGGGTGCAGGAACCCAAGCACTTGAGCCATCTTCTGCTGCCTTCCCAGGCACATTAGCTGGAAGCTGGATTGGAAGTGGAGTGGCCGAGACTCAAACCAGGTACTCTGATGTGAGTAGCTTAACTTGCTGAGCCACAAAGAGTTTTAAATATTTTATTATTTAAAAATGTTTAAATTTATCTATTTGAGAGACATGCAGACAGAACTCCCATCCTCTGGTTCCCTCCCCTGAACGATCACAGTGGCAAGTGCTGGGCCCAGCCGAAGCTGGAAAGCAGGAAGTGGATCCAGATCTCCCAAGGACATGAGCCACCCCTGCCGCCTCCCAGGGTGTGCAGTAGCAGGAAGCTGGGATTTGGAGCAGAGCGAGGACCTGAACTCAGGCATCCAAAGTAGCAGCGTGACCATTATGCCAGATGCCTCCCTTTATCACTCTTTTTTTTTTTTTTTTTTTTTTTTTAAGATTTATTCCTAGGCCGGCGCCGCGGCTCACTAGGCTAATCCTCCGCCTTGCGGCACCGGCACACCGGGTTCTAGTCCCGGTCGGGGCGCCGGATTCTGTCCCGGTTGCCCCTCTTCCAGGCCAGCTCTCTGCTGTGGCCAGGGAGTGCAGTGGAGGATGGCCCAAGTGCTTGGGCCCTGCACCCCATGGGAGACCAGGAGAAGTACCTGGCTCCTGCCTTCGGATCAGCACGGTGCGCCGGCCACAGCGTGCTGGCCGTGGCAGCCATTGGAGGGTGAACCAACGGCAAAGGAAGACCTTTCTCTCTGTCTCTCTCTCTCACTGTCCACTCTGCCTGTCAAAAAATAAAAAAATATATATATATATTTATTCCTTTATTTGAAAGGCTGAATTAGAACGGGGGTGGGGGAGAAATTGGTCAATCTGTCAGTGGATCTTCCATCTGCTGAGTCACTCCCGAAATGGCTGCAACAGCTACGGTTGGGCCAGGCCGAAGCCAGGAGCCTGGAACTCCATCCGGCTCTTCCACGTGGGTGGCAGGGACCCCAGTGCTTGGGCCATCTTCTGTTGCTTTTCCAGGTACATTAGCAGGGAGCTGCATTGGAAGTGGAGCAACTGGGACACAAACTGGCGCCCATATGGTATTGCCATCATTGCAGGCAGCAGTTTAACCCCCTGTGCCACAGAGCTGCCCCCCACCCCTCCCCCACATCGCTTTTAAACTTCATGGCTGAAGCCTAAGCACTGGTGCCCAGCTCCACGTAAGGAAACTGAATACCAAGGAATTCAAATCACTTGTCCAAGTCAGTCCAGAAAGGCTAGCCTTTGGGTCCGGATTCGTTCAGAGTTCCAGAAGCCTCAGCTGTGTAAGCTTGAATCTAGAAGTAACTGGAAACTTCTCCAATAACGGAAGTCAGTGTCTCAAAACCCTGCGCTAAAGCCCAAGCAAGGCCTTGTTTTATGTACAGTTCTGTAACGTGATTCTCAGATTTCACAAGATACGACAGCTGGCAATCTGGCAGTGAGGGCAGTGGCAAAGAAAATCTAAGAGCTGATCTGAGTTGTGGAGAAACACAGGATTCGGGCCATTTAGGGAAATGAAAGCCTCATCTTTTAGCTCGTACAGCCCAGGTCCGTACTGAGACCTCCTTAAGCAACCACGCATCTGACTTGATCTGATTAAGAACACAGGGAGAGGGGCAGGCGCTCTGGCTTATGACAGCGGAAGCTGCCCGTTAGCACACCCACCTCCCACATCTGCTCTCAAATCTCGCCTACTCTGCTTCTGGTCCAACTTCCTGCTAATCCATCCTGAGCAGTAACAGATGATGGCTCAAGTACTTGGGCCCCTGTCACCCACGTGGAAGAGCCGGATGGAGTTCTAGGCTCCTGGCTTCGGCCTGGCCCAGCCCTGGCTGTTGCCGGCATTTGGGATGTGAACCAACAGATGAAAGCTGGATCTCTCCCCCCTCCTTCTTCTTTCTCTCTCTCTCTCTTCCTCTCCTCTCTCTCTCTCTCTTCCTCTCTCCCTCCCTTTGTCCCTCCCTCTCTCCCTCTCCCTCCTTCCCTTCCCATACCCTCTCTCCCCATCACACCTCGCCTACCTACCTTTCAAGTAGTTGAAAATAAATAACACTTTTTTAAAGAAAGAATACACAGACACAAGTGATACATTTTAGAAATATTTACAGAAAAAAAAAAACTAAGCTAAAATAAATGCCCGTTTAGGATTTAAACATGAACGCCTGAGTCATCTGCAAAACCCATGCCTGGGGAGTGTTGTTGAGGATGTGAGGAATTGGAAGGCTGTGCGCTGTCGGTGGGGCTGTAACAGTGCAGCCGCGATGGAAAACAGTCTGCCCCCCTCACAGAATTAAACAGATTCACCATGTAACCCAGCAGCTCCACTTCCCAGTGTACTCCAGAAGACTTCAAAGCAGGAAATCTTTGTGTGCCCGCGTTCGTAGCAGCCTGATTCACGATTCTCAAAAGGTGGAAACTGCCCAAGTGCCCATCAGCAAGTGGATGGAGAAGCCAGATACGGTCAGTGCTTGCAAAGGAATATTATCCAGCCTTAAAAAGGAAAGAAAGTGGGACTCATGCTGCAGCGTAGAGTACACGGAGAAAACGGGCCAGTCACGACCAGACACATGTTGTGTGATTCCCACGCGCGCGATCAGGCCCTGACGGGAGGTGATTCACAGAGGCAGAAAGCAGAACAGGGGCATGGGCTGGGGGGAGGGGGTTGTGGGTTCTACAGTGGATGCAGAGCTTCAGTTTAGTCGGGCTGGCATTGTGGCATAGCAGATAAAGCTGCCACCTGCAGTGCCGGCATCCCATCCAGGCGCCCGTTCAAGTCCCGCTCTCTGCTATGGCCTGGGGAAGCAGTAGAAGATGGCCCAAGGCCTTGGGCCCCTGCACCCAGTGGGAGACCTGGAGGAGACTCCTGGCTTCGGATCGGCGCAGCTACAGCTGTTGTGGCTATTTGGGGAGTGAACCAGCAGATGGAAGACCTCTCTCTCTGTCTGTGCCTCTGCCTCTCTGCCCTTCAAATAAATAAATGTCTTATAAAAAAAAAAAAGACACTAAAGGAGGTGAGTGGGTGGAATTTGGTGACACCAGCACAACAGCGTGAATGCACCGAATGCCACCGAGTGTCCACTGGAGATGGTGAAGCTGGCCCGTTTGTGTGCATCTCACCAGTTATTTTTAAGAATCCACCTGTGTAGGGCACCGTGGTGCAGTAGGTTAATCCTCTGCCTAGGGCGCTGGCATCCCATATGGGCACTGGTTCTAGTCCCGGCTGCACCTCTTCCAATCCAACTCTCTGCTGTGGCCTGGGAAAGCAGTAGAAGATGGCCCAAGTCCTTGGGCCCCTGCACCCATATTGGAGACTGGGAAGAAGCACCTGGCTCCTGGCGCAGCTCCAGCCGTTGCAGCCATTTGGGGAGTGAACCAACGGAAGGAAGATCTCTGTCTCTACCTCTCATGTCTGTAACTCTATCTCTCAAATAAATAAATAAAATCTAAAAAAAAAAAAAAAAAAACTACCTGTGTAGAATGTCATCCCACAAGCAGGTGAGTGAGCTGTTAATGGAATTAAAAGTTGAAAATCCTCTAAGCCCCGCCTGCTGGGGAAGAGTGGCTGAAGAGACCAGGTGCCCACCTATGACCACTGGAGTTTCTGCCGCAGATACTGCAGCGGAAGTGGGGTGAGGGGTGCCTGCAGGCCACGTGGGGTGCCGGCTTCCCCCCACTGTCTGAGAAGAGAAGACTTGCGGGGGAATTCCCAGGCCGGCACACGAGGGTGCCTCCTGGGCAGTTCCGCACCTGGTGACAGGCCTTGCCCGCTCTGTGCTCCCCTCCAGGTGGCCTTTTTCCTCTACAACGGGGTGTCCCTGGACCAGTTTGTGCTGCAGGTCACCCACCCTCGCTACCTGAAGAACTCACTGGTTTACCACCCACAGCTCCGAGCACAGGCGTGGCGCTACCTGACCTACATCTTCATGCATGCCGGGTGAGTGCCGGGCTTCCTCACCCCACCCAGCATCCCTGCGGAAAACTGAGTGTTCTGCGTGACCTGGATCGAAACGTGGTTTTTTAGTCTGTTTTCATCTACCTGGGTGCAAGATGGGAGATGGCTGTTGGAAACTCATCTAATAGCAAAATGCACAAATAGTTGTTGAGAGTGTAGGGGAAAGGGGAAATATAGGGAGGAAAATGCAGAAAACCAGTGGTAAGGTCAGGACACATACACACACAACATGGGATTCTATGTACTTCACAGAAGTAGGTAGAAAAGTTGTTAAGAGCTTCCTGGTAGCCAAAGCAAAGAGGGACCTGGAATGCAGCCACCAGCTTTGTTGTCCGAGTGATGCTCCCCCAAACCAAGTAAGAGGTGAGCTCACTGGAACCCCATCCTCTCTGGGGGCCCCAGTGCATGGTGAAGGTGTCCTTGAGGTGCTCTGCAGTAGCTGCGTTACTCTGACAGAGCCCTGGAGCAGAGCCCCTTCTCACTGGTGCCTCAGGATGAGAACCTGCCAGCTGGTCAGGTGACCCTGGGCCTTGCTGGCCCTGGGGTTGGAAGTGGGAATGGGAGCCCTGTGGCCACAATGGCCCCTTCATTCCTGTTCCCCAGCAGAAAGACCCGCGTGAGCCTCCCTTCCTCCTGAGCTCACAAGCAGGTGCCAGCGGCTGGGGCGAGTGGGCGCTTTAGCGGGAGGAGACGACTCCGGGTTGCTGATGAGTCTGCTCTGGGCGCAAGGGGCCCCTCGGGCGGGGCTGCTGACCCTGCCAGTTCATGCCGGGCTTTGAACTCATGGGACTAAGGAGAGAAGGAGGGCTGTGGCCTGCTCTGGCCTTCTCAGGAGCCAAGGCCTGAAGGCAACAGAAGCAGGGAGCATCCCTGGCCAGGCTGCCCAGTCCCAGGGCTGCCTTACAATCGGGACTACCGCCCTCTGACCTCCCCCCGGCCCCTCCCAGTGAGGGATGGGGGTGGCCGCAGCCTGCTGGAGCTGGAGGCAGCGTGCCGGCCACGGAGGCCCGCAGGTTGGCAGTGGGTCTTTATCCAACAGTAGTTTCCGATGGGGTGGAGGCTGCTGGGGAGGGTTCTAGGAAGGTTCTCCTAGGTCTGGCTGTTGAGCATGGGGCTCGTGGCTGGTGTGATGAAGACAGGCTCACAGTGGACAGGAGAGAGAGACAGCTGGCCAGCTCACAGGGAGCTCCCAGCACAGTGTCTGGCTGCTCAGAGGCTTGGGAACCTGGAGTCACCGGCCGAGGGAAGGGAGGGCACAGGCTGGGTCCTCCCTGGCCTCTTCTAGTCTCAGGCTCTGAGGCCAGAAAACTAGGGCATAAAGCCAGAAACCCTCTAAGTTCCCTCTGACAATGCACCTGTCTCCCAGCTACCTTCCAGTGAATTTTTCTGACAGTCCTATTTGAAAGTGTGCTTATTTATTTGAGAGTTAGAGAGAGAGTGAGCTCCCATCTGGTTTGTTCCCCAAATGCCTACAACAGCTGAGACTGGTCTAGGCTAAAGCCAGGAGCCAGGAACTCAGTCCAGGTCTCCCACGTGGGAGGCAACAACCCAACTCCCTGAGCTGTCTCTGCTGCCTTCCAGGGTGTACCTTAGCAGGCAGCTGGGACTTGAACACGGGCACCCAACACGGGATCCTGGCAACCCGAGTGGCATTTTAGCCACTAGGTCAAATGCTCTCCTCTCACACTGCTAGTACCTTATAGAATCTTTCAGCAAGTACAATTAGTGGAAGGTGGAAGATTCCAGCATGAGCTGAATTCAGGACCCGGCCCAGTCCGTCAGGGTGACCTTGCAGGTGCCCACGTGGCCTCCAGGCAGGTCCTGAGCCTGCATGCCAGGAGCAGAGCTATGACCCCACTCCTCCCACCCCCCCAGCCAGGGCCCAGTCCCTCTGGTCCATGCTGTTACCCTGTGACTTAAACCGTCCCCAGGGAGCTGTCCAACACCGTAGGTTCAGTTTAAATAAGATAATGGACGTTAAAGTGCTCTGTAGACATGAAAGCATCACATTGATTTAGTCATAACCCTGTTCCAGTCCTTCCTGGTAATACACGCACTTGGCTAGACACTGCACGCTTTTATGGCAAGGTCTGGCCAGAGGGCTCAGTGGCGAAGGAAAACGCTCACAGGATGGGAGAGCCTGGAGCCCTGTCTCCCACCCCGGGAGTTTGGGAGCCGAGTAGCTCCGGGAGGGAGGAGAATTTTGGGGCGATCTGAATTACTCACTTCTGGGAGGCCCCTTCAGTGCTTGTGCTTGTCTTTTTTTGTTTGTTTGTTTGTTTGTTTTTGACAGGCAGAGTGGACAGAGAGAGTCAGAGAGAAAGGTCTTCCTTTGCCATTGGTTCACCCTCCAATGGCTGCCGCGGCCGGCGCACCGCGCTGATCCGATGGCAGGAGCCAGGTGCTTCTCCTGGTCTCCCATGGGGTGCAGGGCCCAAGCACTTGGGCCATCCTCCACTGCACTCCCGGGCCACAGCAGAGAGCTGGCCTGGAAGAGGGGCAACCGGGACAGAATCCGGCGCCCCGACCGGGACTAGAACCCGGTGTGCCGGCTCCACAAGGCGGAGGATTAGCCTAGTGAGCCGCGGTGCCGGCTGTGTGCTTGTCTTAAGAGTCTCTTTCTTTCACATGTGCTGCAAAGAGCCAGAGCCACCACATGGTGTGCCAGGCAGATGAGAGACCGGGGCCGTGGTCCCAGCTCAGCCACCAGTCAGGGCTCCTCGCTGAGCCTCAGCTTCTCACGTGTTTAAAAAAAAAAAAAAAAAAAAAGGAAAGAAAGAAGGTACCCAGTGGGTCTTGACTGTGGTTCGTTCTGCTCACTGTGGCAAAGGCAGGCACTGCCGGTGCCCACCCTGGCCCTGTGTGCTGTTCCTGTCCCCATCTCCCAGGTGATCCGCCTGCATCGTCCCGAGATGGTGCCGTTCGCTGTGGCGTCCCGGGGTAGGGCGAGTGCGCAGTGGACGGATGAATGAGTGTGGTTTCTGTGTCACAGGATCGAACACCTGGGACTCAACGTGGTGCTGCAGCTGCTGGTGGGAGTGCCCCTGGAGATGGTGCACGGAGCCGCCCGCATCGGGCTTGTCTACGTGGCCGGTGTGCTGGCAGGTATGCAGGTGGGCCTTCATCTGTGGGGTCGACCCACAGGGTGGACCCCAGGCTTCCAGGGCATACAGAGGACCCCCGACATCACCAGAGCTCCTGCCTACTGGGGTTGTGCCCCGTGGCAAACCTCCCCGCCTCCCCAGGGGCTGGAAGGGGGCTGCCGCCCACAGAGGAAGGGGTGTGATGGAACGGGCAGGGATGGAGTCTCCATCCTCCCGCCGCCCCGCTGTCACTGGCTGAGCCTGGGGTCAGTTCCTGGGTCTTTTCTTTTTTTTATTTTTATTTTTATTTTTTTTTTGACAGGCAGAGTGGACAGTGAGAGAGAGAGAGACAGAGAGAAAGGTCTTCCTTTGCCGTTGGTTCACCCTCCAATGGCCGCCACGGCCGGCGCGCTGCGGCCGGCGCACCGCGCTGATCCGATGGCAGGAGCCAGGAGCCAGGTGCTTTTCCTGGTCTCCCATGAGGTGCAGGGCCCAAGCACCTGGGCCATCCTCCACTGCACTCCCTGGCCACAGCAGAGAGCTGGCCTGGAAGAGGGGCAACCGGGACAGAATCCGGCGCCCCAACCGGGACTAGAACCTGGTGTGCCGGCGCCGCTAGGCGGAGGATTAGCCTAGTGAGCCGCGGCGCCGGCCCAGTTTTTCTAATTTTTAAAATTTACACCTAATGGGTGTCAGATGGTATCTCATTGTG